GGCAGTGCTCCTTCCAAGGCCCCCTGGACTCTCCCCGCAGGTTTCAACTACAGAACATTATTATTGCCTTATATTGTCTCCATTTCAGAGCCCTTCGGGATTGCCCCTGGTGCAAGGGCCTGCCCTGTTCCACATGACCTGGTTACTCTGGCCCTGGGCACTTTGGTTGTAGCACTAGCTCTCAGGACTCTCTTCCAGTCCCTCTCCCCAGCTCCTGCAAACTGTAATGGTTGTCTGCACGGTAGCTCCAGGAGGACTTCCCCTCGCAGCAGCCAGCTGCACCCGAGGGCTGCCCTCAGCTCAGGACCCACTTTGCCTGTGGATGGGAGCCCCCGAGTGCCCGTGAGGTTCATCCCTGGGATTGCCAGCTTCAGTTGCCTCACCCCATCTCCAGAGCACTCTGCAATCCTTGCTTGCTTTAGCACATGACCCTGGCAGCCTTCTCTTTATGCCCCTGCTCCCCTTTCAGTGTTTTCTAGAATGTTTTCACACAAATCTCATCTCAGAGTCTACTCGGGAGAACCCAGGGAGAACATTATTATTGCCTTATATTGTTTCTGATTCTGTTTTCGTTTTGTTTGGGGGCCACACCTGGCAATGCTCAGGGGTTACTCCCGGCTCTGCACTCAGCAATTTGGGGGACCAAATGGGATACAAGGACTGAAATCAGGTTGGCTGCATGCAGGGCAAATACCCTACCCTCTGTTTATTGTTTCTCAAACCCCACTAGAATGAAGTTTCATGAGAATACTACCTGTGACATGTATTCATGTACTTAAGGATAATAATATGTGTAGACATTGAACTGGAAGGACAGTACAGCAGGTAAGACATTTACACCTGTCTGACCCAAGTTTAACTCCACACTGTCCCCTGAGTTCCACCAGGATTGACTTCTGAGTACAGAGCCAGGTGTAAGCTCTGAAAACTGCCGGGTGTCTTCCCCCACCCCCCAACCCCCAAATCAAAAGTTTTATCTACCTATCTGATGTGTATAGACAGAGCTAGCAAATTGTGTTTCTAATCAGGGTGACTTTGGTGGGATACAAATATGCTTATATCCTCTCAAAATCTCTAATATTTATATGGCAATTCATCCTTTCTGTCATCACTGTGACTCTGAATGGCAACCACTACCTTATTATAGGACATATTATTATGGTTTTAGCATCGTGTCATTAAAAATAAAGAACATATAGTAAAGGAAATAGCTAGGTTTGGACTTTAAGTGGGTTTCTGGAATAAAGTTTTGGAAACACCGTTCTTCTTTAGGATTTACTGCCTAATTATATTTTTTTTACCCCTCTAAGATACCTGAAGAGAATGTTTACAGTTGCTGAGTTCTGAAATCTCTAAATAGGCTGTGTTTGTTTAGCTGAGGAGACATATTCCGGCCCTCAGGGTTCATAAAGTGGAGATGTACATCATCGTGGAGGCAGGCTGGAGAGAGAGTGAGTGATGACTCTGGATTCTGTAATTAGACATAGTTTTTGGAGAGGTGAGGAAAGTGAATCATGAGGAGCGGCTGAAGAATGCATTGGGGGAAATGCTAGTAGAGTTGTAAAAGGCTTGTAATCTGATCTGGAATATGAAGTTTGTGGGTAGTTATTGATTTCCCTGTGGGTGGAATGACTTTGCTTCCTGACACACTGGCTGGAGGAGGAGGTTGGGAGAACAAATTGTTACCTGTCAGAGCGGAATTGTGTCTGTGGAGGTCCTCCTCCGTGCCTCGTTGATTGAACTGGGTGGCCTCTGACATCTCGCAGATGCTCCCCACGCTGAGCCGAGCCAAAGCAACTGAACACAACTCTGCCGGGTCTCAAGAGGACGTGGGGTTTCCGCAAGTTTTCCTGCTTGCTAAAAGAGCCCAGGGAAAGGGCAGGGAGGGCCATGGCAGCCACAAGTTCCTCACTGGTCCCATGAGGCTAGAGCTGAGCTGACTCTGCCTTCCAGTAAATAGGATCCTAGCCAAAGCAGAATGAGTTTCACCTTAAAGCTCCTGAAAAATCGAACAGGAGTGAAGAGTCGATTAACCCACGCTAGTGACAAAGTATAGAACTGGCTATGAGTGGAGTGAAATTACCAGTGAAGGCTGCCACAGGCAAGCTTAGAAATGGGGCAACAAAAACAGAAATATAAAGAAAAAGAGAGACAGAAAGGAACTAGGGTAACCCCATATACTATACAAGTGAGCACCTCGAAAAGACTACTGGCTTGGGTTTAGACGTCCTCACCATTGAAGGGTTCCAGAAGGTTCTCAAGCTCTTTGTGAGCCGTCGTTTTATTTGTATTATATCTAAAGACCTCTTCTGATTATCCCTTGGTTCTAGGTTGGGGTGTATCTATAGCGGTCATTTTATTTGTATTATATCTAAAGACCTTCTGATTGTCCCTTGGTTCTAGGTTGGGGTGTATCTACCTGGCTTATTGACCTTCAACTGTTAGTATCACTAACCCTTGAAGGGATGATAACATATCCCAGCTACTCGAGGCTATTCATGTTTAGAACGCTTTGCAGTTCTGTCTTGTCTCCTCACCTTTGGGTCTTGGCTTTATTTCTGTCTTGATAAGAATCTCACTCCTGTCTGGAGGAAAGCAGGCCAAGATAGTAGCCACAGAGTGCAAGAACTGGTAAGATAAAGAAATAACTTGGATGCTACAGGAACATGACTGGTTGAATTATGTTTTGAACTTTTCACCACGCCCCTGCCTTTGTCAGGTGTTTGGTACCCTGGTCCCTGATACACATTGCTTCTGTCTCTAAAGATTGATTTCGGACTCAATAATACTTGTTTTAAACCATTTGTGTTTATTTGCTTGACAGTCAAGTCACAATTTAGAAAGATGGCTTCCTGAAGCTTTGCAGGCTAATATAATTTCATAGGTCCAATTACAAATAAGAAAAATTATTTCATCTCTAAACAGAGGAGCCAGACTTTCTGAGAAATTGTGGTTAAGTAGAAGACAAAGTACTTTCTGAAAAACAGGCCAAGTTATTAATGGCTTTCTCGGCTAAAATCTTGCTGATTCTTGGCATTCAAAGACTTCATTTTCTGGTGATGTTGATTTTGATAATCTGTAAAGTATAAGACTTTCAGATTGATAAAACACTGATACTTCCGGAGAGGGATCTGTGCTCCCACAACCTGAAGCCTGGTGAGCAATGCACATTTCTATCTAAAAATACATCCTCCCTCTACTATTTCCTGTGACTCTACATTTATGGAATTATAGAATTTTGGGTGGAGACTAAACCATCATTCAGTTCAGCTCTTTGTCTGACTAACTGAATAGCACTGTAGCACTGTCCTCCCATTGTTCATCGATTTGCTCGAGTGGGCACCAGTAACATCTCCATTGTGAGACTTGTTGTTACTGTTTTTGGCGTATTGAGTACACCATGGGTAGCTTGCCAGGCTCTGCCATGCTGGCGGGATAATCTCAGTAGCTTGCCACTTTCATTTAAATACTTTCAAGGATAGAGCTTAGTACCAAGACCCTTTCATAAGAATCTATTAACGTAGTTCAGTTGAAATAGAACTTAAAATCTAGCAGCTTCCAAGCAGATGATCATTTGTATCTAAAATCTCAAAATGACCCTTTCCTTTTGATTTGTATCTTTGTAATAGGATCTGAGTATAACTGTAAGGTTGACATTATAAGAGATATTCTTTTCTCCTTTTCACCTTTATTTCTTTCTCTGCCATGCCATTGCTTTTGTTTTCTGTTACCTGTCTCCTCCACTAGTCAGATTTTAATGGGGTGAGATTTCAGTGGGGTGAGAACCACCTCTTATCTTTGTGTTTAGAAATACAGTTCCTTCCATATCAAAGATGCTTAATTTATAGTTATTGTACTGAATGAAGATGAAATCCTGGTGTTTATGATCCCTATTTTGGTCAAGATATCTGAGTGGGGAGATTGTGAAACTATTTTTTTGGTCCTTCAAGTTGTGTCATTTTAAAGAGTAATATAGAAATATAGCTGTATAGGATCTTGGAATTTTCCAGGAATTTGGGCTGGAGCGATAGCACAGCGGGTAGGGCGTTCGCCTTACAAGCGGCCAACATGGCTGACCCGAGTTCGATTCCTCCGCCCCTCTCGGAGAGCCCGGCAAGCTACCGAGAGTATTCGATATGCCAGACACAGTAACAACAAAGTCTCCAATGGAGACGTTACTGGGCCCGCTCGAGCAAATCGACGATCAATGGGAGGGCCTTTATTTTATTTTATTATTTAATAACATAAGAAAGAGTTTCAAGAAATCTTGGTATGTGAAAAAAAATCAACGATGTGTATAGTTCTTATAAAAAGCAAACAAAGACCAAAAAATACAGGTGTATTTTGTACTCTCTGTTTATTTTAAATACATATAAGATTTGTCACAGCTTGATATGACTTAAATGAAAAGCAAAAATCAAAGTGACACATACTTGTATACATTTGTATATAATACATGTGTTTATATAATGTTAAAACATGTCACTTTGTCACTTTCCTCCCGCTGTCCATCGATTTACTCAAGCGGGCCCAGTAACGTCTCCATTTTGAGACTTGTTGTTACTGTGTTTGGCATATTGAATACGTCACGGGTAGCTTGCCAGGCTTTGCTGTGTGGGCGAGATATCTCGGTAGCTTGCTGGGCTCTCCCAGAGGGGCGGAGGAATTGAACCCGGCTCAGTTGGGCTGGCTGCGCACAAGGCAAACGCCCTACCACTGTGCTATAGCTCCAGCCCATTATAACATGTAATTATATGAAAATAAACATACAAATACATATATAAAGTTATTGGTTGCCTCTGTGGAGTAACCTTGGGAAGGGTGCAGAATTGTGAATACTGTGCTAAGGAAATCTTAACTTGATCTTCAATATTTAAATTTTTTCACAAAGAGAACATGTTTGTGAATTATTTGTGTAATGAAAAATTATCTTAAAAGAAGAAAGAAAAGAATTAGAATTGAGGAAGCTCCAATTTCTCTCTGCACTGCCTTTTTTCCAGAATGCAGAGACATCCTACTTCCTGTCATCACCAAGGAACTGAAGGAACTGCTGGAACAGGACGAGATGCAGCACCAGGTTCAGGAGAAGAGATACTGTGTCGAACTACTCAACAGCATCTTGGAGGTCCTCAGCTGTCAGGATGCGGTGAGTCCTCAAGATGATATAGATGTCCTGGACTCAGACGAGAGCTGAGTTGATTAGATGCTAAAATATTGATGCTGATGAATAGCAGTTGTAGTCTAAAGATAAAAGTCAATGGCTTGCTCAGCAGGTCTCCTTTCCCAATGACTAATCCCCATCACTGTGAAAGATGACTTGGGAACTGGAGTTTAACATGGAGCGTTTGGGTTACCATATTTCTTCTTAGATGTGCTTTCTGGGATGTAGTCACAGAAATATTGCAGACTTTTAAGATAACTTGTCCATTGACTAATGACCTGATTTGCAAAGGCTGGAGGGGGACTTTTCCATATCTGCCTGGCTAAAACAACCTTAATCTGCTTGCTTAGCCCATTTACTTGGGTTTGTTCCCTTAGTTATTGCTTGTGATGGTTAAAAGGGGCAGGAGGGGGCTGGGGGAAGGTTAGCTTTCTTCCTAGAGGAGCAGAGTGGCCAGGTCTAGACTCTACAGATAGGCTAAGGCGTGGATGGGATGGGAAGGATGGTGGGAGGGAGATAGCTATAGCAGTGAAGCCATTATTTGTTGGCAAAGATCACTCGGAGATTAAGCAGAGATGGAACCAAGAAGGGAGTTAGTAAAAGGCTTCCAAAGGGCAAAATCTGAAGAAGATGGGAGGAAGATGGAGTGTTGGTAAAGGTAAAAACTGGGTAACAATGATGGTAATAATAGGTGTAGAATTTATTTATTTATTATTTTTCAGAAACCTCCCAAGTGGAAGTCATAAGGCATAGGGGCCCCTCTCAGTAAGTTTTAGCCAGCCAGTGGTAGTGGTTCAATGTGAGGGCACAAGGATCTGGTGCTGCTCGGGCTGTGTGGTGCCAGAGATTACCCGGGAAACCCCAGCAGTGCTTGAAGGCCTCTAGGGTCACACCAGGTGGTGCTCAGGGGACCATGTGGTGCCAGGGATACTTAGCGCCTATCTTATGCTCTCCAGGCCCAGAATTCTTTAGCAGGGGAAGAGGAAGGTTCTTGATTTGACTTAGCTTCCTTAGGCAGCTTTGAATTACCCCTTGAATTATACCTGATGCTATCTTTGTCGTAGACAGGCTAGTTTTATTTTATGCTAGATTAATTTAATATACTTCAGTTTGGGGGCTATACCAGCACTATTCAGAAGCTACTCTGCTCAATGCAGCTCAATGCTTGGGGTTTGCTTCTGGCTATGCTCAGGGGAAGATGCAGTGTCAGGGATCAAATCTATGGCCTCCTACAAGCAACACTGTACTCCAGCCTGGAATAGTCTCTCCAGTCCCAGGAGTAGCTTTTGTGAGTGTCTCTTTGGTGATATTGGGGATACACCCAGCAGTCCTCAGGGGCTTGCTACCAGGTTGGTGCTCAGGGTTTGCTTCTAGTCATATTTAAAAGATGTCAGGGATCAAGCCTGGGCCTACTGCATGCAGAACATGTACTGAGCTTACTGACGTATTTCTCTGGCTCTGAGAGGCTAGTTTTATAGGACTGTGTAGACCCAGACAGCAAATAAATTTTCTAAGTCATTGTGTGAACATTCCTTCCTTCCTCATTTTTCCTCTTCCTCTGAAATGTCTTTGAAAAAGGGTTTTTGAATGAACTGTGTCTAAGATAGACTATAATTAGAAAATCCTGCAAAGTTATGTTCTTTTACTGTCATAGACCCGTAGTCAACCATTATTATCAGTTTACTTTTTGTGCTTCTTTCTCTACCTTTCCATCCTTATATCCTAATAGCTACCGAGAGTATTCGATATGCCAGACACAGTAACAACAAAGTCTCCAAGGGAGACGTTACTGGGCCCGCTCGAGCAAAATATCCTAATAAAACTACTTATTTCTTTACAAGGCAAATGCAGTAACATGTGTCAATCTCTTATTCAACCATTCATAAATGCATCTATGTCCCAGGTATGAAAACATAGGCATGGATCTTTCCTAAGGAAAATATTTACAGACTTATCAACAAATGATGGTATCATAATTAGACTTCTGAAATCTAGATAATCTAGATGTGTACTGGAAATGCTGTGCTGCAAAAAGATTTTGAGTATGTGACTGTTGTAAGCAATATTTTTTTTTCAGTGTATAAGCATTTTTTTAGTGTGTAAGCATTTTTAACAAGGGTCACAAAATGAAGCTTTATTTGGATGTTCAAGGGTGAATAATAATGATCACACTGTTACTTTATTTACTTTTTACTAGATACTATGCTAAATGCAATCCTTGTTTTCTCTGTTTACCCTGATTGCTGCCAAGGATTATTATTCCCATTTTAAAGGTGAAAACATCGAAGTTCATGGACCTAATGTTCAAGGCCAGACCAAAAATAAATGGCAGGATTAGAATTCAAATCGACGTTTCTCTACTTTGACATCTATGTAACCGTAGGCATTGGGAATAGAAAAATATTATCTTTTCACTTGCATTTTCTTCCTATTCATACGGTTGCCTCTCAGATAGAGTAAATATAATTCCTCAAAGCTTGACTTCCCAGAATTCTTTCTGTGGTATATTATTATTATTATTATTTTTTATAGTATTATTTCATAAACTCACTCACTAACCACTTTTTAACTGGGTTCAGTCTTTGCTGTCTATCCTTCAGAATGTTTTACAGTTCAAAGTGTTTCCCAAAATGGTGGTACCTCCTGTTCAGGATGCTAGAACTATCAGCGAGGCAGTAACGGTCTTGGGTGCAACTGGGGTCTGCTTCTTGTTGCTTCTCAAAGAAGGTTAGTTTCCAGGGGTGTGCTTTTGAGTATTTTTTATGAGAAAGGGGCAGTAAACCAAAGAGCAAAGAAAAGTTTGTGAACAGGCTCTGTAGAGGCCTGAAGGGTGATCTATCTTGTCTTCAGAAATATCCTAACAGCTGATGGGAATGTTCATCATAAAATTCTGCCCTAGAGCTTAGGCTCACAAGGAGACTAAGATTATGGGCAATATATGAAACAGATGGCCACTAACACTCAAACCGCCTTGTAAGGTCCCTGAATTCTTTGTAAGACTTGTCAGTTGATCAGAAATGCAAAGGGCCTTTCCTTTAAAAAGGCCTACACAGAATACTCACTTTTAATTTAATCCTGTACTAAGTTCCTCCCCACCTGGGAAGCTCCTTTTCTTAACTACTTTCCAATAAACTTTTCTTCTTTCCAACTCCAAGTATGGGCATCTTTATTATTCAATATTTTCATCCTTGAAAATATTGAAGAACATGGGAATCATGAACGAACACAGAGACGGGCCGCTGTTGGTTCTGCCTTACCTGCATCAATATTCGCCTATGACGTTTCTTTTTTGTCCCAGAAGTCATTCTGAAGTCATTTCCTCTCTCTCCCTGACTGTTTTCACTCACGGTGACACGCTTCAGATTCATCCATATTGCAGCAAATTGCATGACTTCATCTTTACTTACAGCAGAGAAATATTCCATTGACCAGCATTCCCACTGCTGGAGATACATCCCCCGGGCCAACAAGCACGGTGAAGAAAAGGCATCTGCACTCCAGTGGTCAAAGAGCCAAAATATTGAAATAGCCCAAATGTCCAAGAACAGATGGCTGGATAAAGAAACTATGGTATATACACAATGGAACATTACTCAGCCAGAACAAATGCTTTTTTTGTTTGTTTGTTTTTAAAAAGGAGATTCATTTAGTAGTCATTATTGCTTTGAACTTAGTTGGAAAATCAGAAGCCCAAAATATCTCATCTGAATCACTCAACTTTTAATTCGACTACACCTGTAGGTCTCCTGAGGTGCTCGTGGAGAGCAACTCTGCCTAACCACCTCCCCTATCTGTATTGGTCGGGGGTGGGGAAAAGTTCACCCAGTGATGAAGTGAGCAGCTGGGTTGCAGGATCACTGCTCTCGGGCACATCTTAAACTGAGCATGTCTCTGAGTGGAGTTGTTAACCAGGCCTCTGACCAGTAGGTCTGCAGCCTGGGGCCTCATCATTCACTTTCTAGCAAATTCCCAGGGCATTCCAACCCATCCAGGGAGGGACTCTACTTCAAGAGACCCTATTCAAATGTGACCAAATTTTTCCCCCCAATTTTTGGCATTCACTGGAAACGGAAGAACAGTGGGGCTCATCCTCAGTCCTCTACATCCTTAATTAAAGAGCTTTTCCAGTCTACAAAGTCTAGCATTTTACCAAGATGGCACTTAATAAATCGTGAAATGGCAGAATCTTCCACCACATGCACTTGTCTCCAACATTCATTTTTGTGCAGTAGTGGGTACACAGCCTGTGCAGAGACCTGGCTGTGAAGTCCCAGCCCATCGGATATGCAGTAGGGGTTCTGCAGGCAATAGCTTCTCAGAATTGGAAGAAAAATGCAACAGGCTCCCCAGGTAAATGTTCTGGATTTTTCTTCGGGTTGTTTGGATCCTCCCTGCTGATAACAGCAGTGCTGTCTATTTCTCTCAGGCTCTTTGAGGGCACCAGGGGACAACCTATCTTCCCACCCCGAGCTCAGACTGTGTTCATCTGCCCTGCCCGAACCACTGCCCGGGGGTAGAACCTGCGTGTGGCAGTGGCAGTGCGGGATGCCAGCAGTGGCAGTGCCGGATGCCAGGCTTCCTTTGGTGGGGGCGGGGTGGAAGTGTGTTTGGGGGATGGCAAAGGACACTCGCCTTCAATTCAGTGTCTTTGTTTGGATAATTACAGCCCAGCACAGCAGGCCTGGCCTGAGGAAGCTATGTTTTTCCCTTATTAGCCTATTCATTGTAACCCTGGGTGGCTTATGAGTCAGGGGGAGATGTCACCTTAGCCTGGGTGCCCATGTTTTTTTAATGATAGTGTTAAATCCCCACAACCAGCCTTGCCCGAGTTGCATTTAGCATAAGAAAGGGACAGGCTGAGGTGAAGGATGAAAGGCTTGACTTCTGCCTCTATTAACTCCCTTTCTCCCCCACGCTGAGCAAGTTTAGTTGTCAACTCTGGTTACTTTGAAAGGTGGTTTCACACTGCTTCTTTCTGTGCCTTC